CACTCGGCCAAACACTCCGCTGCCCGGAGGAGGACCAGGGCGGCCAGGAGAGCCTCCCCGCGTCGCCACCGTTTGTCCATCACGAGTTGGATTGCAGGCCGTGCCAGGCCCTGCCAGGCCGTGCAGGACCCCCTGAGGACTTGATGAAGGGAGGCCTTGCTGGGCGGCCAGGTGATAGGGGAGACAATACGCACCGGGGGGACAGTGGGGCCCCACCCCACCCCAGCCCGCCCCACCGCGCTCCGTCCCGCCACACAATTATATCACTATCGCACTGGCATCGGGATTGGGAATGGAGGGTGTCTCCGTGAGGCTGTGGGGCATTATGGGTGGGTTTCAGACGTCGCTCTCGGGATTCAGCTGCGGTCGGCGCCTCGTGCGTCTCCGTGCACGCGCGCCGCCGTCAACCAAGGGGCCAGCGTGCCCGGTCGCCCCTCGTCATTCGAGAATCGACGGCATTGACTGTCGGCATGGGCATTGGGCTGGTGCCGGGCTGCTGGTCTGGCTTCACCGACCAGGGCGACCAGTCACATCGACCTTGGCGCACGGAGCGAGTCAGGCCTGGATTCGCGACAGAGGCGGTTAACTAGACACAGCCGAAAGCCAGCCGAAGCCCTATTGACCATCACTGTCGCCGCGGAGCCAATGGAAATCAAGGGGTCGAGGGCCACTCTGCGATTCGAGCCATTGAATCTAATTCTAATTAACTCACATGAGAAAGGGAGCGCCATAGACGACGGGATCTGGCGCGTGGAGGCGGGGGGATTACAGGACCACATTTAGCGCAGCCCTGCCCAGCCGAGCCCGGGCCGCATGGACAGAAGAGTCAACATGAATCGCCTTTGAACCCCCCCTCCCCCTCCGCCTGGTCCTTTGTGGCCCAAAATGCCTTTCTCCCGTTCATTTAGCGGGCAGCGGCGACCTGGCTCGCAGTGGGCTTCTGGAAGCAACACGCAGAAATATGGGCAGCAGGCCGAGAAGAGCTTCTGGCACGACTCCATCCAGTCCGCGACGCGGTCAACGGCTTCCTGGAAGTCTCTCGCTTTGTCTCTCTCGCAGACAGACAGGCCACAGCATGCGTGCGAGCGAATATGGAAGTCCGGAAGCAGGTTCCTAGAAAACGCTCTCAGGAGAGGACTAGCCAGAGGACCACAGCGCGAGTCTTTTCTCAGTTGGCTCGCCCTCGCCTTGCGCGTGCGGTCGAGAGCGGAGCCACAGCGCCACAACAGTCCCCGCAAACATTACCATGAGGCCCTCCTGTTCTTCCGTTCGACATTAGGCACCCTCAGCCGACGATCTTGTCGCAGCAGTCAATGCAAATGAGGAGGCGAGAGGCAAGAAAACACTGCACCAGGATGCAGCAGTGCCACAGCAGGCCAGGGGACCTTGCGCTTGACTCTGTGTTCCTTGAATGGGACTCGAAGCAATGGGTTGCGCTTGCAAAGGAGCAATCTCTTGGTTCAACCGCGTGTTCGAACCTTATTTTGAAGACACTTTACATGTCAATCGAGCCCGTGTTGGCTCCCCCAAGCAACCCGACGAACCGACCCCCCTTTCTCAGGCTGATTCCGAACAGTGCCTTTTTAGCTGCATCTCTCTCGCACTCGCACTGAGGGCGTCCCACAGCAGTGCAACAGAAGAAACACTATTCGCAACGAAACCCCCCCGCTTATCGACGGCCCCTAAACGACTGAGCCACACGTCCGAGCCACACAGTGGCCCCGGCGCGGCCCGGCCCGACCCAGCAGGGGGCGTGTGCTTAAGACGATGGCGAACTCGCTCGTTTGTCCAAGTTGAATATGCAATAAGGTTCGAGCAAACAGGGAAGGCTTGTCGAGGACTAGGGCAGGGGGCGGGGCTTTCAGAAAAAGCGAGGGGGGGGGAGGAGAAGGGTGTGGCACCGCAGAAATCGCGACGACGACGAACAAACACGGCGCGAGAAAGGGGGAGGGGGAGGGGGGGGGACGGCGAATTATGGGGGAGGGGCTGCTGCTTGTCGCGGATTATCGAGGGACCGACCAGGCCGCAGGCCACCAGGCCACGGGCCGCGCTCGGCTGGCTCGCCTGGCTCGGCTCGGCTCGGCGCGCTCAAGGAGAGCCTCGGCACAAAAAGCGCGCGGACAGCGGCAGCGCAGCTTTGTCCCAGCCGGCCGGCCCAGCCCAGCCCCGGACGCGTCCGCGGGGACCTGGGACCCGGCACTGGGACCCGCACCACCGTACCGTCGTGGCGCCGCGGACTCACTCAGCCAACAGAATAGAAAATTCGGTCCGGAAATAAGAGTACTTTGGCTTAGGGGCGGCCTTCAGCAAGGCCTTGGGTGTCTTGAGGCCCACGCCCCACGTGTGCGAGGGGTGGTGCGCGGTGCGTGCGGGCAGGGCTCGAGGCAGGGTCTGCCCGGCGGTCTGCGAGCCACGTGGCGGGCCAGCTGTAGAATGTAGTCAATCAGCCTGTGCGTAGTTTGTAAACAGCGACATCCGCTGGCATTGCCACCACCTGGAACGGGTAGCCGGGGCTGCCAACTCGGGGCTGTCACATCAAAGCAAGTGACGCGCCCGTCTGGGGCGGATCGAAACCGGCAGCAGCTCACTCCCTGGAAACCGCGGCGACTCGTTCCACGCCACCCCGAAGTACAAATAATCCCCCCCCCCTTCCACCGCCCCCTGCAAGCCTCTCATTTGGGTCCCGGCAACGTTGTTGGGAAGACAATGCGTGTCACGGCGTCGCGGAAACAGCTCAATCTGCACGCGTCACGGCACCGTCCGTCATCGGGGCAGACGTGCGGACGGACAGACACACAGTGTGTGACCATGGAACATGCAGTCACGCCTCGCACCGTGACAGTCCGCACGGTAAAAAACGGAACCTGGTTTTCCCAGGAAGCCAATGGTGATTGTATAGGCGATTTCCAGGCGGTTCCTGGGAAAACCAGGTACCGTTTTTAACGTGCTCATGATAGGTGTCACACAGAGTTTAAAAGAATCATTCGAAAACAGAACGTACACGACATCAATCTAAAAGCAAACAAAAACTAAACTCGAGAGGAAACAAAGTTGATTGACAGCTGTTTCTACGCAAACACGTCGACACAATTGACTGTGGCGCACATCCTCTGACAACGGCCATTTTTTGCGTCCGGTGTTGCTCAGGCCGATGGACCTGTCGCACACGTGGCATGCCGATAGCGACCATAACACGACACCGGCAGCGGGCAGGTGAACTTTCCACGAACTGGAAACAGAATGATGTCTGAAATATTATTATAGGAAGTGAGCGGTCGGCGTGCCTTTGTGCTGTCGTTCGCCAACAGTTCCCGTCCACTCGTGTGCAAGTGGACTTTGGGTGAATTTGGGTGAATATGTTCCAGATTCTGCTCGTTGCGGGGCCTTTCAATAGTGGGGCAAGGCGGAGGAATGGCGCATTGATCGACCGTCACCCTAATTTCTGCGCGAGCCACTCAAAGTGAAACCGCGCAAGTCTCTTTGTTGCGCCACCTGCGCCCCGGCCTGCCCGCCCCGGCCGCCCCGTCGCCACTCATTGCGGCATAATACGAACACCAATATGAAAGTGTAATGGCGCGCAACGCCGGAAGCCCGGCCGGAGTGACAGCCTACGCTTCCTGCGCGCACGGCGGCGGCAGCGCCAGCAGCGCCAACCCGTTAAAACCTTCCGGTACTCCCCTCCGCGCGGAGCGCGCCCACCCCCGACACTTTTACTCCGCTTTTTATACCGAGGACGCGTCACTTTCCACTGAAGCGGCCACCCACCGCCCACCGCCCACCCCTCAGCATGCTGCAGCACGGCGTTGGCATGTGCGAGGCGCGCGGCGGGACAGCTCCGAGTCGGTAGCGGCGACTCGGGCTTTCTCGGAACGGGACAGGACAGGTCCGAGCCAGTCCTGAAACTATTTCGAGCTTTCTAGCTTCGCCCACTCAGGGGTCCGGGACGGCTCGAGACAAAAGCGGTAAAAGTACCATCTCTCGGCGGTGCGGAGGCAAAGTCGGGCGAAATCAATGTTTACAGTGTGCAGATGCTTTAGTCCCAAAGTGGTCGAACAAAACGTTCCCAAAATAGTGTGTGACCAGGCAGGCTGAAGACACGGCCACCGCATCGCCGCCGGCTCCACCACGACCCACGCCTCTCCGTTATAAATCAAAGAAACCCGCCTACAAATCAAACGGCAGTCATTTTCCCACTCCTCCTGGATTATTGAATCACGGCAAGTCCCTGCTTCCTAGTCCCGACTGATTTCACACCACGCGCGCGGTCACCAAGACGGCAAAATAAAGGTCTAAAAAGGACGAGGGAAAAAAATCACATGAAATGGCGCGGCCGAAGAGCCTTTGCTAATCCATCAGCGGTTTTTTCCCCTTTCTTTCTTTTCTTTCGCGTCTCCGGGTCACCGCCGAGAGATTGCCCCGCCCCGCCCCGCCCCGCCCGCCCATTTCATTCCTCGGCCGCTGTCCGCACCAAGTCAATCTTCGGGCCGCTCTATTGCCGCGCTCGCGCCGCGTTCGGCCGCGCCCCGGAAACGACCGCATTTCCCACTATTTTCCCCTGCCTTGCCTGCTTGTCCCTCTCGGCCTTTCGGCGCGGCGCGTCTAAGCCGCCCGGTGCCGTGCGCCGCTGCATCGACGGCGTCCTCGGCGTCCTCGGTCGCCCGATTGCCGAGATGTTTGCAGTTGGCTGCTGCAGCCCGCGCGCTGCCACGTTTCCCTTCGATGGCGTGACCGCGGCGGAGGGTCCGCTTCGCTTCTCCGGGTCCGCGCGGTCCCGCGCCCCGCCCACGCCAACGCCAATAGACCGAGCTGATGGAAACCTCCGCGAAGCCTTGGCGTAGCCTTGGCGCGGCCCCACAGAAATCCAGATGAAGGGTAATCACAACCGGCTTTCAGGACCGAAAACGGTTTTCCGGCCGCCGCGTCACGCTGTTCCGACTTGAAATTGGGGCCTGGGCGGACTGGGCGCTAAGACGGCAGCCCGTAGTGGAGGCGGTACTCACGTCGCATGTCCACGGCCACGGAGGTGGAGACGGGCCGCGACTGGTTGTTGTTGGCGGCCTGGCAGTGCAGCGCCTCGTGCAGGTGGCGGCGCGACAGGCTGGCGATGCGCAGCTTCCTGGACCGCGGCCCGGACGCCCCGAACGGCGCCAGCTCCGCCGTCGTGTCCATGGACTCCAGCAGCTGCGAGCCGCGCCACCAGGACAGCGTGGGCACGGGCCGACCTGGAGAAGAACAAGGTCATTAGGTTGATGCAAGAAAACCCCTCCGCGCTCAATGCCGCCACGCGGTGGGGAGCGTCGGTGTGGGACCCGCTCGCCGTGCCGCCAGCTGGGGGAGGAACTTCCCGCAGCCCGCAGGTGCAACGACTGCACCGTGCACCGCTGTGCACCGCACCACCGCGCGCCGGGGAGACCGTAAACTGGAAATCGAACTCTAAAAACCGCACCAGCACGACCAGCGCGGCCACTTCGCCCCCAGCGTGGCTGCCCAAGTGCCGCTCGAGGCCCCAGAGGCCCCGCCGCCCCCCGCCGCCCCCCCCCCGCGGCCCCTCGCCGGGCTGCTTTATGGTGCGAATAATGCATCAAGACATGACTTTCCATTTACGGAGGGAAAGTCCTGCCCGGGTCCCGGCGCGCTACACCAGCAGGGACTTCCTCGGAGTGCCGCCGCAGGACCTGCGCACCCGGAACAGGGGGTGGGGGAGCAGCACCCTGTCGACGAGGAGAACTCCGCCAACCAGAAGCACCTCGTCGACGAAAAGCATCGGTTGAAAAGAACAGAGAGAGGCCGGCCAGGCGTAGGGCCAGTCTGGAATCAATTGGTCCGCTTCAACCCACGCATGCACGCCCCGGCCAAATCACACCCACATAACTTAATCCGGGGGTCCCTGCTGGATGGCTGGCTAGTAATGAATAAAGGTCATCCAGACCTAACAGGGCCGGCAACGCCAGCAAACTAATTCCTACAAGAATCCATAAATTGAGGCTGCAGGGCCGCGGGGCGGGCAGGCACGCGGCGGCCAAACAAAGGGCGGCGACAAGACGGGCCAAGGCGGCGCTGCAGTTATTGGAAAGGGGGGGGGGATACCGATCGGCAGTTTGCTGCCCCATTGAGCCACGCCACAGCAAAGTGCCAAGGCCCCTGTGGAGGAGAGCACTCTGCCCCCTCAAAAACGACTGATCATTCTATTGGTGAGACGCTCAACACGGTGGCCGAGCCCACTGTTTTTTGAGCAAGAGACCGGAATCGGAGTACATGGTTTGTACGACCTCTTTTTGTCCGACCTGCCGAAATTCGTCCGACGTCCTTCCCGCTGTTATATTTTTCTACGACCTCCAAGGAGCCCACCACCCCCTAGGGCAGCCCCTAGACCACCCCCTAGACTAGCCCCTTAGACCAGCCCCTAGTCCAGCCCCTAGACCAGCCGTCGGGCCGCGGTCGACGAGTCATTGTTTTAAGGCAGGCTGACAATGGGTGGCCGCGATACGCTAGACAATGCAAGGCGATGCAAGGTCACAGTCGTCTCGTTGTCATTAGCACTCCGCACGGCGATGGAGTCGGGCAGCCACGCGCTATCAAGCATTCCCCCCCCCCCCCCTCTTTCCCCTTTCCCCCTGGTACGCAGACTCAGACCGCAGGCCGCACACAGGCCTAAAGACTGAGGGGCCGGTGTCCTCACTCGGGTTCCCGACCCGAGGAACCCAGCAGACAACCAGCGCGGCCCTGGCGATGCGCATCTTCTAATCACTCCAATTTGGCTTGCTGCCGAACGCCGCCGGCCCGCCCCGCCAGGTCGCCACCCCAGGAGGGCCCACGGCCCATTATGGTTTCATTGGCCGGATTGAATGCCGCCCGCCGTGCCGATGCTCCCGTAGGACATGTCCACTGCGGCCGCGCCAGCCGCGGCCTAGCGTTGCTGGACGCCGAGCGGCTTCCTAACGCCCACTTGGAAACTATGCGGGGCGCGCAGGGCCCCTGGCGCGGAAGTTGCCGCCTTCATCCTTCGGTCCACTCCGCCGGGGAGACTGTCGGGACGGAGTCGGGACGGACAGGCAGTAAAGCATCCTCTAATCTGGAGCTATCGGGGCGACAGCCAGCACAGCCAGCGAGGTGTTGAGAGCAGGGCCCCGGGTAATTACATTAGGCGTGGGGCGCGATACAGCCTTCATCATAGCACCGGCCAAAAAACAATTTCAGCCTTCAGAAAACACTGTGAGAAAAAAGTACGGAAAAAGTACGGAACATGTCTGGTCAATAATTTGCCTGGACCGTCCATGCTTGCCAACTACGGAACGTTCCGTACTTTTTTCCGTACCCATTTACATGGGTTCATATGCGGCAAGTACGGAACGTTCCGTACTTTTCTCCGTACCTCCGTACTATATTTTTCTGTACCAATTCCGTACAAAAGTACGGAATGTTTTACAGTGAAATGTCAGAGCTCCGCGGGGAAAGCTTGCCCGGCGGGGGTAGAGGGAGGGGGGCATAACTGCGCTGTAAAACCAAACGTGGACAACTCCAGACTTCCAGGTGAGGAGTAGGTCTCCACACTTGGAAGTGCAAAGATTACCGTCTCCACACTTCAAGAGTGGTGTAGCTCTCAGAATCCCTATCCCTCAGCATGGTGCAAAATGTGGAGGCTGCAAACTCTGCACTTCCATGTGTGGAGACTGCAAAACTGCAAAGTCCACACCTCTGCATTTCAAGTAGGGAGTTCTCCACGTTTGATTTTACAGTGTGGGGACCTGTCCGTTCACACTGTCACCGAAGAAGCGTGGGCGTGGGCAGTCCCCGCGCGACAGGTGCGACCCGACTGCAAAAGCTCAGATTAGAAGCAGACTTCGGTGCAGTAAAAATAACGCGGTGCGAGATAAATATTTGATCAACAGTAAAGGAGCTAAAACGAAAAGGAGAGGAGAAGGGGGAGAGGGGAGAGAGAGAGAGAGAGAGAGCGGGGGAGAGAGAGAGAGAGGAGGGGGGAGAGAGAGAGAGAGAGCGAGAGAGAGAGAGAGAGAGAGGGGAGGGGGGCGAGAGCCCCGGGGTGGAAAGGACTGTACTTTCGTTTACATTTCGAAAATGAGGTGTTACAACTTAAACTGTAAGACTTTTGTTGTTATTTGTGCATGGAAAAGTTAATCTAGATCACAAGAAATTTTTAAAAATGTTAACTAATAGTACTTGGACTGCAGTTAGTTCAATGCAGTCCAGCTGCATTTCCCAAATGCCTTTAAAATGCTCAAACTACAGTTAAACTATAGTTAACTACAGTTCAACTGCAGTTCATGTACTGGGAAAATGGTAGTTTTTTCGGACATTTGCAGTTTTTCTGCAGTTTTGAATCTAGTTGACATCGTTCTTTTAAAAAACAGCTCCAAAACGTATTTAAACTACAACCCCCATTACAATCATAAATGTACTGAACAATGCAAAGCTCAAAAATCAATTTTTTTTTGACATTCCGTCTCTTTTTCTCTCCTCCGGCCCCTCTCCTTGCCCCCCTTTCCCCTCATGGGATGGGTTTTGTAGCTTGGAATTGTGAAAGGGTAAGTCAGTGTTGAGATTCGATCCTGGATCTTTTTTGTTGTGGAGTTGTTGTGTTATCCACTGCGCTGGTGAGCGCCCCTGGGGGCGAGTGTGCGATGCCCCGACCACATGACAAAGGGCCCCCCGCCGCAACGACGGGTTTAGAGAACTACAGCTTTTTTTCAGTTGAGCTACACATAAAATGCACTTGCCGGGAAAAAATTTTCGTTTTCTCCGCTAAAACCCAATGCTGCCTTGCCGAACCTAAAATTTTTCTTTCCCCGATCAAGGACAAAAACCCCTGGACGAACAGCTTATAGTCTGAAATTCTGATGACACTTCGCGTCTAACTTAACAGGTATGCCTTGTAAGAGTATAAACCCCCCCGTTCGACTCATCGTGCGACACGCATGGCGAAAAGAAAACCTGAAGCGCAAACTACTAGAATAAAAATACAATTATTACTTCAGTCGATGAGCACTTTAAATGTACATTCGAAAATGCATTACGATTGCAGACTCGATACCGCTTAGAATGCTACTTCTAAACTGCAGTCGAAACATGCTTTGATAATAGTTCACGTATGTTTTTGTCTACTTTCCAGTCTACATGGCGATCTGTATTTTCATAATGCATTCGTTTGCATTATTCACTACAGTTTAGGCACTACAGTTTAAGACTGTAGTTGGGAATTAGTATGAACTGCAGTCCTTCCACCCGGGGAGAGAGAGAGAGAGAGAGAGAGAGAGAGAGAGGGAGAGAGAGAGAGAGAGAGGGAGAGAGAGGGAGAGAGAGAGAGAGAGGTGCGAGAACGCCTCAGCAGGTGATTGAGACATAACGTATGCGCGGTCAGCAGCCTGAGCGAGGCGCCTGCTGTCCAGTCCGGCCCGCTCTGCTGCTCCGCCCAGATGTATAGATAACATGATTGACTAATAATGCAGCCGTGGGCGCTTCGCTCGGCTGGCCGGGCTGGCCGGGCTGCGGCCGCGTGGGTGCCACATGATAATCACGCCGAGTTTGGAGCCACGCCGCGCGACGCACCTCAAGTTGTCCCGAAGAAAACTTTGTTCTCTTTCTCTCCTCTGCGGGGAGCGTGTGAAAAATAATATTCTAACTTCGTGGGTTGTCTGAAAAAAAAAGAGGGGAAAAAAACGACAGCCCTCATGCCTCTTTTCTAGGATTTAACAACTTGACAATCAAATGATTTTTTCCCCCTAAAAAGTTTCAGAAACCAACAGAAAACAAAATTTCTCCGACCACTAGGAAATCTTTTTTGCGGAGGCCCGAGGAGGCAGAATCCTTTTCCCGCGCGACAAGGCCCGAAGAAGCGGCACCGCACCGGCAGCGCACCGGCAGCGCCGCCACGGTTTTTTCCTCCTCGTCGTTTTTGGAGGGACAACACACGAGAATGCAAATCGCGGCGGCCGTCTTATACATCAGGGACAAATTACACGGTGTGGCGGCAAAGCAGGCGAAGCGGGCAATGCGCGGAGTGGGCCAGGGGCTCGGCGGACAGGCGGACGCGATTCACAGTGGGCCAGAAGACCGGTGGAGGCGGCTGAAACTCTAGACGCGTTTTGAGCTCCAGAGTCGCTAAATAGGACTAGAACCGAACGTGTGACCGCCCACCGATGGATTGCTCTGCGAACGAGGAATCCATTGGTGGGGTCACACTTTTGGTTCGAGTCTCATTTAGCGACTCAGGAGCTCGAAACGTCTCTAGAGTTTTGGCCAAAGATCGTCAACGGGTGGATCGCGTTGGATCGTGCTCGCCAACGTCGGCCCGGGTCGGTCCCGACCCAAGCCTGGCGGGCGTGGGCCCGGCCGGCGACTGGCCCAGCTTCGAGTCCCGGCAGAAGCCTGCATTTTTGTCGGTCTCTGGTACCCTTCAGGTTCTTGAAAAGGAATCTCCACGGTATTTATGTGTGCCGTGAAATGTTAGTTGCGGTTGCAGCTCTGAAATCGCGAAAAAAAATTATAGCGCCGCCGGGACTCGAAGCTGGTCAACGGTTTGGGCCAAAACCGGCGCTTCGGTTTGGTTCGGAACCGACCCGAACCGACATTCGGGAGCACGATCCATCGCGATCCACCCGTTGACGATCTTTGGTTTTGGCCGCCTCCACCGGTCTTCTGGCCCACTGTGCGACTCTGGGCTGCGGCCCTCAAACGGGGCTCCAATCGAACCCGCCATGATACCCTCGGATTGCCCGTCGAGAGAGGAGCTCATGGGTACGTGACAAGCCGTGTTTGATTCGAGACCCATTAGAGTACCGCCGAGCGCCGAATGTGCCCCGAGTCGTGTCGCCCAACTGGTTACACTGTGCACACAGCCAGCCACAGACGCAGCGCGGGAAGAATGAGCGCTCAACGCGCGCCGAGTAAATGAAATTAGCTACTCCCTTCGATGGCGCGCCGCACGGCCAGTGACAGGGAATAATCATCAGAGCGGGGATTCCACCGCGAGACGTCCATTAGAACACAGAGTGCTGCAAATCGGCGCAAATTTTGGGGGGGGGAAATAGAAGAGAGCGACAGCCAAATAAATTATACAGAGGGAAGACAAAGAAAACAGTAACGGGACGGGACATGAAAAGCGAGCGCGAAGACAGGAGGCATTCTGTCCGTCCACTCGTTTCGGCACTGAATACTGTAGGCCGCTGGCAGCGAGGCACAGCGAGGCACAGCGAGGCGGTGTCGCGGGCCGCGCCAATAAAAACGCCACGGAGTCAGCGCGTCGGCGCGTCAGCGCGAGGTGGCTCCACACGCGGAATGTAAACACAAGGCGGAGCGACGCGCGAAAATAAGTCAATAAAGCGCGCGACATTCTTTTATCTAGACGGCGCGCAACGACGACAAGACACGCGTTCCGGCGCTCAGTGCAGCGCTGTGCCATCCCGGCGCGCGCTGCCGGGCAACGGAGACATGCAGCAGCGCGTAGCGGCAGCGCTGCGAGGCGCCCAATAAATCTTTATTGCCTCGCTGTCCGTCCAGATTGTCCCGGCGTCCTGTCTGTCACTGCGTCGGTCGGCAGGGCACAGCCGGGCACAGCAGCGAGGCGTCCCGGCGTAGTGTAACGTGCAGGGCGATGGGGCGGCCGATACGGGCCGACAGTGTATCGGCAGCGAATACCGAATGTCTGGCACGTGGCGGCCGCGCTGCACCACGGCGAGCGCAGCACGGCGGACGTGTCGCCCAGGCGCCGCTGCAGCTGGCCGTATGTTGGCGAGTCGCTTTCATGTCCTTCCTTTATTATTCCCCCTCCCTTCCTTATTTATAGACTGGGTCCACGGCATAAACACACACAGTGTGAGGAATAATCAAAGACGAAAGGGCACTGAAAAGCCGCAGGCCGCAGCGACGCGCGGTTAATAAATTGCCGTTCCTGTTTCCGATTGTTTCTGGTGGGCCTGGTGGGGCCTGGTGGGGCCCTGCAGCCCAGTGGTGGGGCCTGCATGCAGTCCGCGGGGCCGCCCAGCTGGGCGCCGCGGCGCGCCGAGACATGCGGGTCCGGGGCAGGGCCAGCCCAGCCGAGGCCCCGCCGTAACGATTCGTCTTGGAATGAATGAGTGGATGAATGAACGGATGGATGGTCAGCGGCGACGCCTATCTAAATATTGCGACGAGACTAGTTCCTGCTGCTGCCCGTGTTGAATTGAGTCGTTTTTCCCCTGACGCGCCAGCAGCGCCTGCCTGCAAGCAGAGTGAAGCGTCCCGCAACGTGCTGTGTTCTGCGTTCCCGGCACACGCCAGTGTACCTGTTTCAGTGTGTGCTTGGCGTAAACAGGCTGCGCCTGAGAAGCGGGCGGCACAAAGAGGCCTCAAATGATGATGCTTCGCACTCACTCAAAGGCCCACGCCACGTTCAAACCGTCTACCCGCTCACACGCTTTAAACTGTACGAATTGCTACCATCACTGAGCAAACAACAACAACAAAAACGACTCGGCGAGGCCGTAAAACGCTTCTCCACGCACAAACGACCCGAAAAATGTTTTGCCGTGCTGCGTCGTGCTGGCCGCCGGGCCCGGAGCCAGGGGTCACGTGCCGCGACGCGCCGCGACGCGCGCGGTGATGTATTGCCCGAGAAAGGACTGGGAGGGACCCCCAGCAGCGGAGGTGATCGCAACAACACGGACAAATTTTGGGCCTCCATGCTACGTGCCTGCAGTGCCTGCCGCCGCCGCTTGCGTATGGTGGTTGGAGCAACAAAACACCGACGGCCTATCCTCTCTCTCCATGCCAACATTTCCTCTTTTCACTTTTTTTTTCACACTCCTCTTTCCTGTTTTTAAATTGCTCGCTGCGTTCCTTGTGCGGTGGCTGTTATTAGCTCTCTCGGCCCACGTCGCCGCGTCGCCGCGCTGCCGTGTGGGCCGCGTGCCGCCGGGTACCGAGGACGCCGAGGAGACCCGGACGCCACAGGTGCGGGGCTTGACGGCGTGCAGACCGGCCGGCCCGGCCCGGGGCGGAGCGAGGTCGTCGAGTGCCATCGAGAGCCGCAAGTAATGCGTGCTCCACGACTGGTAAACGCTCCCGGTCCACCCGTCCCGCTGCCCGTCGCTTTTTATTATGCTTATTTCTTTTCCCGGCAGCGGCCACTGCCAGAAGCATGCGGGCCGCCCGCCTGGCCCCGACAATTATCCTCGTTGCACAGTGGAGCGGCCAGATGACCTGTTCGGGCGAAGCCGAGGGCGAAACGCAGTGCCGGCCGCGTTCAGGTCGCCTAGAAGCGCAACCCAGTGGCGGCCCCGTCATCCGTCTAATTCAATTTCAACGCGAGGGAACGGGGAGGTCGAAGCGAGTCCGTGAGAGTCGCGTCCACCTCGACGGGTCTTGCATTCCTGCATTCCTGCACGACGCTGGCAGCGCGCAACGACGAATCAATATTGCACTCTAATCAGGGAGCTCGCAATTAAAGCAGGCAGCACGCCCCGCCCCGCCCCGCCCCACCTCGCCCCGCCGCGGCCGACGGGAGCCCAAAGCGACACCACAGCAACACCGATAGGGCCGCAGTGCCATCGGCCAATCGTGGCGACAAACTTAATTCAGACTGCGGTGCGGGTCTCGCTCTGACCGCCCTGGCCGCCCTGGCCGCGCTAAACAAAGTTAGGCCGGGCTTTGCTGTGGGCTTCATTCACCTCCAGGCGGGCCGCTCTCTTTGGCCGAAAAACTTTTGGCACGGCCGGCGATGTCCTGTCGAACAAGGTCGTAAGGCGGGGCGGGGCGGGGCGGCTGGCCAGGAGATGGGGGCCGCAGATAGCCCCGGTGCCTAGTAGATCCCTTCTTTACTGCTGACAAAATGATATTGGATTCCTATCTACATATGCTCAAAGGCGGTCGGCACGGCGGCACCCTGCTCACCTCAAGCCTTCATTAAATCAGGAAGGAACTCGGACCACACCAAGTTGGCCGTGTTTTCGCCATGAAGGCACGCGCCGCCCCGTCGTCGTTAGGCCGGCCGGCCTGGGCGAGGGTGACTTGATGTGCAGCAGGCCGCAAGAAATTTTAATAAACCAGTTCGCCGTCCCGGCCGCTGGCGCCGCTGGCATCGCTGGCGTGGCGGCCGCAGGGTCCGCAGGCCTTCATTTGCGCGGAAATCACCTCCAAGGCGCCGCGGCCCGCCGCCCCTTAATAAAGGCGAACAAGGCTGGCGGTTTTTTTGGCACTGCAGTGGCGATCGCTATCTAGTCCGGATTCTACAGGCGCAGCCTCCCGGAAGGGCGCGGAGCGACGCGCAGCTCTGCGCCATGCGCGACGGCATGGCGGCAGCGAGGCACGGCCCTTTCATTTTCTGAGGCCATCCAGTACCTCAGGAAGGTGACGCAAAGTCACATCATTTCAGGTCTCATCTTCTGAAACGGTGCCCGCCAAAGGGCTCGCTAAAGGGCCCGCTCGCTGACGCGGGGGGGAGGCAAGGCGCGGGGGGCGGGAGAGGGGGCGGAAAAAAGTGAGGCGACGACGACGGCGCGCTGCTGCGCGTTGCTGCGCGCCAATTTCGGGCCCGACAGAGGGCGGCAACGAGAGCGCTCTCCGCGCCAGACGAGCCGAGACGAGGCCCAAGGCTTTCATTTAATTCGGTCATAATAGCCAAACTGTGTCCCGCGGCGAAACCAATCACTTAGGTCAGGACAGCGTCACCGGCGCCAGCGATGGAGGCCGACGCGCTGGCGGCCGAAACATGGAAGCCCTCCTCTAGTTCGTTGTATCGGCGGGCCGGGTGGGCTGTGTTGTATTCACAACCCCATCCTGCATTCATGACACGGCCAGATCGCATACACACTACATGAACTTGTTGGGGTGCGCGGCGTGCGCGGGGAGGGTGGGCGGGCAGAGGGTCAGTCGTAGCAGAAATCTGTGCTGCCCCCTCTTCTTACACGCACCTACACAGACAAACACACACGCGCGGAAACACAAGAACACAGAGTGGCTGCAGAGAGTGCGGTCCCTGGCCGGTGCTTGTAGGGCCGCAGCACACCAAGCGATGCACAGGCACCGCCGCAGCGCGCAGATCCGCTTCCGACCGCATCTTTTATGCATGAATCGGTGTGGTGAAAATTCTTACCGCCGTGGACGAGGCAGGTGAGCTCCAGCGACTGGCCCTCCTCGTAGGGCCGCGTCGAGCCTTCCACGCGGTGGCCGGCCGAGTCCACGATGGTGGGCTTGCCGGGGGGCACTGCAACAGAACAGCAGAGGTCAGGTCATGTCGGCCAAAGCGCCGAAAGCGGTGGCGGGCCTGAAAACAACAGTGACTGGGCTCACTCCTCGCAAGCACAACACAACTAGAACTAGTCCGCGCGACCGCAGCAGCGACCGCAGCGCCGCCACGACACTGCACCCTCCATGTTCACGGCCCACACGATCAGCAGGCTGCGCCATGTAGCGGGCCAAGGCCGAAGCCCAAAGGCTGAAGGTCGCTCCCTGAGCATCGTCATTTCCGTCAAGAGTTCCGTATTTTTATTTCCGTCTCGCACCCCACCGAACGGGAAAAGGGAAAAGAGCGTGTGGAGCGCCCTTGCCGCGCGAATGGGGTCTAAGCTGTCCCGCCGAAAAATACTCCGTCCACTCGCCTACTCGCGCGTCATCGCGAGTCATAACGACACGGCCGACACGGCCGGAGGACGAAGGGCGTTCTCGGCTGCACCAATTCGTTTGGCTGCGAATAACGAGCCGCGCTAGGTGCGCTCGCTGCACGCCTGGCTGGCCGGCTCTCATTACGGGGCTGGACGCGCTGTCCGTGAGAGAGAGCGAGAGGGGAGAAGTGTCTGCGAGTGGGCGGAAGAGAGACACTGCCATATGTGTGCGTCACTCGGCGGGCGCCTCATCGTGTCCCCGATGCAGCGAAAATAGAGGAGGCTGAGTATTGCACGGTGCAGCGGTCCCATTGTCGCGCGGGGAGCATTGTTGTGGCTGACCCATTGTGAGGCGCGTTGTCAGACCTGTTGCCGCGGCATGGTGGGGCATGGTGGGGCCCATCCCACCCGCTGCTCCTGGTATGGCCCCACAGCCCGCCCGCGCCCATCGGCTCTGCCGTGGCTCTGCCAGGGCGAGGCATGCCTCAGCTTTGCGGTGTGACATGCTCCCGCCTGCGCCCAGCCCTGCCACCCCGAGTCCCCCCGCAGCCTCAGGGCAGGAGACATGTCTCCGTCATCACACGCGCACGGTAACGATCGACCCATCCACGCCCGCCCCGCCATATCGGCGGCGATGGAGCTACGCCGTGCGCCGCGGCCGAGTGACTTTTAATGCCGGGCTTATGGCATGGCCGTCTTGGGGGCCGCGATGGACGGACGGACGGCGCTTCTCTTTCCCGGCCCGGCCGGCCCGACCCACGGCGATGCGACGCCGCGACGCTCCCCCGAGCCGAACAGCCCGACCACTGTTTTGTCCGCCCCAAGCACGTCCGCCAGTGCGTCGGCCTGCTCATCCCCCAAGATGGAGCGACCGGCTTTGCGCTGCTTTGCGCTGCTTGGCGCTGCGCGGGACACGGGCATCAATTTGGCGGCGTCGTTTTTCATACGTACCGCCGGAGTGAAAGCGGCACACAGCAAAACTGAAACAACCGAAATCTCAGAATCCGCCCTTGCTTGTATGCATGCATAAGCGACGGCAAGTGTGTGCCTGCAGGCATGCACCAAGAAGTGCATACCTGGCACACACTTGAGTTTGCAGAGCAGATCTAGGACTCGAAGAGTCGCAGAGGGCCAGGAGACGTTTCCAGGGTCCTCCAATAGGCTTCGAAACAGACACATGATGATACCAATAGATTGCAAGTCGGACAAGGAATCAGCTGGAACCATCATGCGTTTCATACGAGTCTCCTCAAGCTTCCGAGGGTTCGAGTCGTGTCCGCCTTGGCAGGTCTCCTGGAATCCTGGCCCCGCCACCCCAGTGCCACCCCGGCGCCACCCCGCCCCCGCGGCTGACGGCGCCCTGACGCGGCCTGATGAGCGACGCTGGCCGCGCTAAAGAAGGCCATTACGCGCTGCAGATTAGAGCGCAAGCATCAGCACTGTCATATTCCGCTCGACCTGCTGCAGCCCGACGACAACGGGGAGGACGAGCCGGCCGGGAAGGCGCTCGTTTTTAGCAAATGACACCTTATCTCATGACGAAACCTTAATTAACGTAAACTATTCAAGAGAGGCGTCAGCGAGCATTTGTTCTCGATTAGGAAGGCTGTGCGCCTGGCGCATATGATGATATAGCGGCAGGTGAGGAGGAGGCTGGCTCGGGTGTACCAGCTTGCGCTAGGATCAGGCACCTCCGCCGTTCTTAGACACACCCCACCAGAACTTCCCGGACACATTTCTTGTCCTCTTGCTTTCGGCTGGAAGTGAAGGAAACCAGCATTGAATCATGCTTCACCTAAAAACTGAAAGAGACATGGACAGACAAAACAGTAATGCTCATTGACTTTCCGGTTATTTTGTGATTAATTTTAGCTTTCGTCATTCAATTGGCAGGGAGACAACAGTTAAGGACATACAATCGGAAAAACGATCTAAATTTTGGATCATTTGACAGAGTAGATTACATATTTAAGCCTCCCATTCCTTTCGGCAGCTTATCTAGGTGAGTCCGGCTGGGGCCCGCGGGCCAGTGCACCTTCCGATAGACCGCCACGCTACAGTTTCCATCAATCACAGCCTTTTTAACATTGCGTTTCGCGGCCCGTCGAGTGGAAGGCCCCCAGCACGGCCCCGGGGGCTCTCGGGCCGCAAGGGTGGCCCCCTTCAAGCGCTGCGGCATGCCTCGGCCAATTTGGAAGTGCCTTGTTCTGGATGCGTGTCAGAGGCTCCACGGATGGCGGCACGCAAAACAGCTCGACCACGCCATAATTGTTCCCGGTTGTTTTGATTTTTTTCTCCTCGGCCGAGGAGCAGTAAGCTGCAGGAAAAAGTAGCCCCTCGCCGGGGGAGAAACGGGGCAAGGGCAAGGCTCGAGGGAGCCGGAAAAGAATCGACCACCCTAAAAGCTGCAACAAGGAGGTTTCGCTCGACCTCGACATCCTCTGCTCGCCAAATTTTGAAGGAAACTGTTTCTGTACACGAGTTTGTATACCAAATTTGCCTCTATTCGGGCAACTTTTAAAGGAGTCCAAAATAGTGTGGGGTCAGCGCGGGGAAAAATCAGACACTACGGGAAAAAATCGTATGCCCATATGATAGACTGGTGTTGCATTTTGATGCTCGGAAATGCTCAGTTACGGTTTTTGCATGCCCAGCTGTGTTGCAAAGTCTCATAATGAGGTGATCCAGTTTAAAAATGGGGCTCCTGATATTCCCCCTACCCATGGGAGTTTGTTTCTTCCCCGTACTGACCCTAAAGGGAAGAGAGAAAGACAAAAATTCAGTTAAATTTTATCTCCTAACCTGTCACTTCGATGTCCGAGAAACTCTGGCACCGCCCGTCCTCGCTGCCATTCACTGAATGAACACCGTGATTTATGCATGGACCGGGCAAGCGCCAGGTCACGGCAGCACTAGAATTTTTATGGTGGATCTCCACGTGTGTTTCAAACTGGACAGTTCCCCCGTCCGAGAAGTGACACGACCCGCAATCGGAAGTATCAGACTAGATAAAGCTAGTACACGTCCAAAGATTTTTTGTGATGTTTTTTTAAGTTCCAGATCTCCATACAGACCAGTGGGTCAGACTGAAACTGCACTCAATCATAACGAAGATCGATCGCACCCCAATTGTGGTAACGCGCGCGGCTTGGAGAGCGTCCGGTCCGGTCGGACTCTGCCCCACGACCACCTCGAAGCGATCCCCCTAGCAAAAAATACGAATTTAAAGTAACTGAAAAATGAGGGGGGAACCCTGCGCCAGGGATTTGGACAGACGCTCGGCTACGAGGTGGGGGACGGGACAGAGGGGGGGGGGGGGTGCTCAACCGAGACCAGCTGCAGCGGGGATTATTGCACACGGGCGGCGGCTTCCGCGGAAAAGACAAGAGGATTAATTACAGCGAGGAAAACGCGAGGAAAATATTCCCCTGAAAATCCCCCGCGTAAACTCAGCGACCGCGACTGTATAAACTAGAACCGGGAGCCTCTGCCGAAGCCGAGCGTGCTGCCGGCCGAGCGACCCCCGCAGCTCCACTTCAGATCCAATGCAGGCTGATTCCGGGGGCTAGTTCCGCTGTCCACCCGAAGCGTTGCGAGAGAAACAGAGCGACAAACCGTCTCTTCGTGCAAAGCAACGCGACACCACGATGCACAGGGGCCGGACACCATATATTTCACGTGGACGCTCTGCTGGGCACGTGAGCCAACTGTCATCTCTCAGATTCCTGACACAGAGGGCAATGCATCGACAACATAATGCATTTGATAGGAGTGTGTATGTGTATTTGAAATTTGATTGGAAAGTGAAAGAAAACAGAACACATGCACTTCGTAACGCACGAATTTGTGCGCGACCATGCAGGATTTCGTGCGCAAGTATGCAGAAAATCCTGCGTTGTTGCGCACAAATTTGTGCGTTACAAAGTGCATGTTTAATTTCGTGCATTGGCGCGCAGAAAAACCTACATAGTTATTAGTGTGTGAATAATTTTTGATTTAGGTTTCTTTTGTGGATTTTTTTTAGTTTGAAAGCAGAGCTCTCTTTTATTTTTGAATGGGGAATATAGAGCTTCAAACGCGTCGCAGAGTGTTAGCCGTGCCTAACATAAAAAGCACAAAGTGAACTTCGGAAACAAGCGCAAAAGTGAAAGATTCGAGAGGGAGGGGCTGGAAAGAGGGGGAAGGGGGCGTAACGCATTAGCATTTCAATGAGTTTGCAGCGAGCCGCGGTCAAGAGCTCCGAAGTCATCGGCCACCCCTGTACTCCTCGTATTCCCCATAAATATTACGGGGCACCCACGCCGCACCACTGCTTTCCAAGAACTTATATGCCGCAATCGAATTTGTGAATGAGAGCTAGTTTGTTTGGAAAGAGTGGCAAGAGCGTGAGAGAGTGAGGGCGAGGGGGTGGGAGCCAAGGGGACGTGACCGGACTGCCGAGCGAACCCTACCGCCGCCACCCCGTACCCTCCATCGCACGCAAAAAAAGAGGGCCCTAAAGCAGTAAGGTAGCCGCCCGCCGGAAGTCTTACGCGACTCAAGTTGTTCACCTGACACATTTTTTTCCTACGCCCTTTCCTTTGGCTTTAAACGTAATCAGGAA